ACTACAGGTGTGGAATCAATAAAAAAATTAAGTAAATATTTTTCATTATGCAGTGATATTTGAAATTGATCCCCTAGTCCTCTCTGTTGTCTCGGCTCTATTTTTCCACCTTAAACCTCAGTGGATGGAACTTTCTAAAGTACTTAGAATGCTGAGCCTGATCCACAAAGATCTGATCCTAAATGGACTGTAGCCAGGGAATTACCAAACCAGGGCACATCCTGTTGGCAGCATTTGTGTTCTGGACATTCTGTTCTGAATTTCCAGCTAGAGGCAGAGGTTCTTAAATGCAATCTTCTTGTAACTCCATGCTGACTTACTGTGCACAGGTAAGGTGAATTACTTTATTTATATATTTGAATTTAAGCTGTTATTTTCAGGACTCCCAAGTTAAAGATTTGCAATATGCAGAGTAATTAGTATTGACTAATGAAGATAACTTCTCAGTAATTTCAACAACTCTATGTGGCTAAATAACATCCGTCCATTCCAATAGATCTTTGTGGTAAGACATCAGCTTGCAGGATCCAACATCTCCTCTGTTTCCCCTGAGAAATCCCGTGCCACACCACATTCAGGGCAAAGGCCCCTAATCTGTCTCAGCTGCATGTGCATGCCCACCAGTCCTGCTCTAGCCAGGATCTGAATGCTGTCCTTCAAGGAAGGAAGTTTTGATGGTGCCAAAGAGAAGGAAACCCAATTTAATATTGACTATAATAACCGAATCCTGATACTTACAGATAATAGCAATTTTCATTGTTATAGTTAGGTGCTTAAGCCTCCTTGGATAGAAAGCAAAGATGAAAAAAAGTACGTATCAAGAGAGTTTTGTGGAAATAGACAAAGCCACGTAGATACACACATAACTTGATATCAGTGTATAGCAAACAATTCTCTTGCTTGTAATGTATATATCATTTACCCAGAATGAGGATCATTGGAGTTTTATCCAGTTTCAAAAGAGAGAAACAATTTAAAACCCTTCCATCTTGATAACTTCCTCTGTGATATCTCCTTTTAATGTAGAACACCTCAGAGAAGAGACAGGCCTCTCTTCCCCCCATCTCTCACTTGGGTGAACTCAACAGATTGGAATATATTGGAGTTAAAATGACTCAACTGCATCAGATATGAGATGAGAAAACACAGTAAAACAGGTTTGTGTTGCACATACCCTCTTCGAGATGTTCAGGTTGGAGCTCTTTCAGGCCTTTAAGCAAGACCCTGCAAACCTTCATATTTCAGCTTCCACATGAGTCACAGAACCAACACCTCCTCCCTCTCAATGTCCCCTTCACTGCCATTTGTCTTGCCCCCATGGGTGAACGAGGCATGCCAAGGCACCGTGATGGAGAGGTCACTTAATGTTCATTTATAAAGCCAAATCTCCTGTGCTCTCCATAATTACCAATCAATTTTACATAAATAGCAAAATTAAGCCCCATTATTCTCATTTGCCACAAAATTAGAGGAATTAATTAAACATGGAAAGAGTGCTGATGCCTGCCAAATCACTACTTCCAGTAGACAGAAACAAATTCAGGAACTACATGCAGGCAGGAAAGAGAATCGTCAGGGCATCCAGAGACACAGGAAGTGATGCAACTGGAAAGATTTCGTGGGTAATGCAAGTCTGAAAGCACCGGTATATCCCCAGTGCCTCTCTGGAGGCTAAGACGAGGAACATACACCCTACGTTAAAGAGATGGAATTAGCATCTTTACAATGCCAGGTGTAGCAGAGTTCTGGGTGTTTTTTATGGAAGCTGTGGTTTGTGTTTGGTTTGAGTTTGAACAGAGTCAGGAGAGAAGGCAAACAGAGGGTGCACTTTCCAGTTTAGGTCTGTCTGAGGGATTCCAGTTGTGTGAGTATTGCTGGTGAGCTCAGCTCACCTCCCGAAATCACATGGCTAGAGCATCCATACTCCTCTATGAAAGGTCAAGTTGTGTTTCAGACCATCTTCCCGAAATAAATGAGGAGAGGAAGGGCATAGCAGATAAGGGTGGGTGTTAGGACCTTCACAGTTTTTGGATATTGGGCCTAACGATGGTCAGATCTGTAATAAAGTTTAGAAATTATGAGGCTGAGCATGGTGAAGCAGTTTCATAAACCAGGAAAGATTCAAAAACAAAAGTGTTCTTCAAGGATTGTTTAAGAGTCCTTTGCAATTACTTTCGTTATGAAACAATGAAATATATACTATTCCTTAAATAAACCCACCAAAAATGATACCCCTTTTATCTGTTGGGCCGCAGGAAAAATCTTCATATCTTCCTTAATGAGATTTTTATTGCTTGTGTAAATATGTCTTGTGCTGAATTTTTGTCGTGGGATCCCTGAATTACGTTACTGTGAGTTGTTCCTGGTAAGCATGCAAGCATCCCCCCAGTTTTTGCTGTGAAAATGGCTCCTTCTGGCAAAGGGAAAGCAATTGGAACTCAGTTTAATGAGCTGCCGTCTGTAAATATGCCATTCGTCTTCTAGCTCCGTGCTGGAGTTATATTTACAAAGGGAACAGATAGCAATAATTATTTTGGGTTGTAGTTAGTCAGTATTAGTTAATGCCTGAGCATAATTGAGAGGAAATTAAGACAAGTGTAGATCATGGGCACAAAACAGAGGCTAAATGATTGTCTGTCGGAACAGAACTTTTACCTATACCTTCAGGCCTGGACCGGGGAGTCGGCTGCATGGAGAAGCGACAAGTTTCTCACCTGAAGCCCACTTAGCAAGAAGCCTGTGCAACCTTTACCATCCGCTTTTGAATGATCACGAGGTAGGTTTTCTGTTCTAGGTGTTCCCTCCCAAGCCAGCTTTTCTTGATGACTCAGTACGCTTGTCAGCTACTCGACGCTTTTGAATGATCACGAGGTAGGTTTTCTGTTCTAGGTGTTCCCTCCCAAGCCAGCTTTTCTTGATGACTCAGTACGCTTGTCAGCTACTCGTTTTTCCTTGGACCCAGTGGAACCCAGGGAGGGTAAACTGAGTTCAATATGAGTCAGAACCAATGAAACAAAGAAAGAGGGTCAGCCATTCCCGAAGTACTCAGAGCCTTCCATGGGCAAATACAAAACGTGAATGAGCTAAGTGTTTTGTTGGCTTCTATTACTGGCTGACTAGTCTTCAAAACTTCATTCTTCAGATCTGTGACACAGTCATTAGTATAAGACAATCATACTCAGAAAGGTCCCACGGCCTCTCCTGGTGGGTATGACGGGGAAGAGTTCATTGGGAGCAGCCTGCCTCGGAGTCCAGGGGCTGGAATCCGACACGGATCCCCTTCCGGTCAATTCTGTAGTTTGCGGGGAGGGGAACAAGATCATAACATGCGGTGAGGACACGCACAGGTGTAGGGTCAGACATCTCTGGGTAATTGCTCAGGTTCCAGGACTTGCTAACTGTGACATTGTGAATAATTGACCTTCTAGTGCTGTCATCTGAGAGGTGGGGATAACACCAGAACGCGGGGGGTTGGATGGGCTGAGTGAGGTCAGTCACGTGAGGCGCTCAGTCCTGAGCCAAACACCATAAAGGGCTCAGTCAGCTGGGATGACTACTGCTTATGATCTTGTTTCAACCTGCCCACCGTCCCCTGAGAGCCGTTTAAAACCACTATTTAAAGGAGCATAGCAGGCTTCTGTGTTGTGTCTGGAAGCAAAGAAAAGCTTGGATCTGGGCAAACCCAAGGGGAGGAAGTAGGAAGTGTCAGGTTTGCCCCTGACTGGCACAAGGGGCCGAGTGTGAGATTGCACTGGCAAAGGGGTGACCGACAGATAACACCTTTTGTCTTTTGTTAGTTCTGGCTTTATGTATTTGTGTACTTATTGGTTCAAATGTGAGGCTTGGCAGAATTCTACCTCAAAGCTGATTTACAGTTCGTGAGATCAGTGGAGAGATGCTGGGCCTGAGCAGAGTGGCCGTGAGGTCCAGGTGACAAAACATGACAGGCTTTAGGAAGAGACGGTCCCAGGAGCAGGCCACCCCCTGGTGCCGCGGGACTGAGGGCCTCAGGAGCACACAGAGGCAGCCCCACTGGACAGCCCCGATGGCTGGGAGTGCCCACCCAGTGGTGGACGATGGGGCCAGGGAGGCACATAGTGGGCAGCAGCTCACACATGCCTCTGGAGTTGGATGTGAGGCACATTTGGGGGAAATACTGAGCAGCCAATTTCTAATTACGGGGGCATAAATGATTTTAGAATTTAATCACTTGCACTTTGATGTCATAATCATAGAATCGGGAGCTCTAAGTACACTAGGTTGGAATTCACATACTTGGAAATAGGTTGGCATTCATGGAAACACACAGCGCTCTTCAGGTGAGGCACAGGGGGCTCCCTGACTCCCTCCAAGGAGTTGCCACTGTGCTATTGTGCTATCTTTGTCCTCCTCTGTTTTCAGTCCTCTGTTTCAGAATTCCAACCATCTGGCTTTCCACTCCATTTAAAATCCTCTGGGAAAAACAGGCTAAGCCTGCCCCATCACGAACCTGCTCAGAACACCTGGGTTTTTGTCCAACTCCAGAGAGTGGCCTCAGCCAGCACTGTCTGCAGGGACCAGGGGCAAATATGCACCCCGATTTCTACAGGTTCTCAGTTTTGGTGGGGTCTGTTTGATTTACATCTCAGTGGTGAATCTTGTCTCTGAGTAACTACCCTCTTGGACAGTATCTTGAAAACATGTCAAACTTTTTAAAAAATGCAAAAATGACCAAGAACTCTTATGTGCCATACCCTTCACTGAAATTTACCAATTATTAACATTTATTTCTCACACATACATACTTTTTTCTAAAAACCATTTCAGAGTAGGTTGCATATTTCATGTCCCTTAAATCCTTAATACTGCAGTGCATGTCCCACAGACCACCTCATGAAACAGGCTGCCAGAAGGGATTCCTTGGCTGAAAAAATGTGGAAAACCTCCAAGCTGAGGCCCCTTTTTAAAACAAAGGACTCTGAGAGAAAGCATTTCACAGTGCTCCCGGGGCTGCACAGAGAGCTGCCTGAGCTCCCCAGGGGTGGCAGGGTGTGGAGGGGGATGTGTGCACAGCGTGCACGTGGCTCCCAGTCGCATTCCGCCGAACAGCTCTGGGGAATGTCCTCTGACCACCCTGAGAAGGAAGCAGGCCTCCCTGAGCTCCAGGGCAGGCTCTGCACTCGCCCTGCCTGGCAGGCAAGCCTGAAACAGGACGTCTTCCCGCAGCAGGAATGAAGTGGTCCATCCTCAGGAACTGAGATTTTCAGGAGCGGGGCTGGAGCCGGTAAGGAGGGCTGAAGGCGCGGAACAGGGGTGTCAGCAACAGCTCCATTTGTGGAGCAACCAACCAGGCATTAGGCACTGTTCGTTGAATTATTAACAAACAGCTGTCTTCTCCAGATGCAAATTGTTGTTAGGCCTGAAAATGAGCCCTTCTGACAAAAATCCATCCTATTTGTCAGTGAAGCGCTTTCAAACCCCAAACGTTAATAAGATGAAGTTTGACAGCACATGGGAAAGTGAGATGCTCACCGACCCAGTCTCTCCTCTTCCAAAGCAGGGACCTAAATGCGTGTCTGCAGGTGAAGGGCGCCAGCGATGAAGGGAAGTGGAGCAGAAAGAGAGAGAAAAGGAGAGAAGGGAGAGAGGACAAACGAGCCCTAAATGAAGGTGGCAGGAGGGTGGCCCTCTCGGTCCCGTGCTGCCTCCGCTGCAGAGGAAGGGAGCCGAGGGCCCTTTGCTTCTGGGGCACAGAGGAGACACGCTCAGGAAGGACATAAAGTAACTCTGCCGAGACGAATGCCTTACATGCGCCTTGGCTCTGCCCTATGGCCGAGTTCCACCAACCATTCAGGAATACGGGGTTATCCTGGGATACTGAGTGTGCCCCAAGCCCCAACCTAGACGAATGAACGGAGGCTGTGTTTGTGGGTTCAGTAGCTGCGTGGACATAAGCTAAGAGGCAAAATCCACCTTGAACCATTCCACAGAAGCAGAGAACAGAGCATTGCTCTTAAAAAGGAAATCTCAAACTAATGAAGCTGCTGTGAAACAGAGAGATAAACAGAGGCGAATGCCCTCGGGCAATGAAGATCCACGGGCCACTGACTTAGTGTCTGACGTAAGAGGGTCTGCCCTGGAGAAAACCGTTCCTTGCTAACTGTATAGCTTTAGAAGCCTTGTGAAACCTCTCTGGGCCTCGTTTCCCTCATCAGTGAAGCGGTGATTAAAAAGCATTCCTACCTGGTAATGCCACTGTAAGGTTTTAAAGAATCTCTTAAAATAAGACATGGCACATATTAAGGGCTGGATAACTGAGAGCTGTGATTGCTGCAGCTGATGTTATTAATGTAACAATAATCCATCCCGTATTACATTTCCCTTTAGCAGCTCCGCAGGACTGGGGCAGTGAGAGCAGAATTACCGCCCAAGCCAAAGGCGCAGGCTGCCGCGCTTCATTTGAGAGCGTGGGGTTCGCTGCAAATTAACCCTGATTACCTCTTGCCTGGTGATGCTGGTTACTTTGGGGAGCATGAGGCGACTGACATATTTTCAACGTTCATCAGTACAGTCGCAGTGTACTGTGACCGCCTCATGTTTCTGCTCCATGGATCAAACAAGACAATGCAAGTAAAATGCTTAGTCTACAGCAACATTTAATAAATAGTTGCCATTATTTCTGCTATTATCAATATTATTACAGCAATAATACTACCCCATGATGTAGGGTTGAGTGATCCAATTTAAAATCTAATGATCAAATGCAGATGGAGGGCTCAGAGGCAGCCTACCTGTTTTCCAGAAGGGGGTTAAAAATTTACTTTGATATTTTTCTGTCTTTTTTTTTTTTTTGGTGAGATAATGAATAAAAGTTTTGTGAATTCTAAGATGTATTTCATCTTGTGTCTGTAAAATTTTAAAAAGAAATTTAAAAAGCCATATCCCAGCCCATGGCCTTCAATGTATTTTGCCTCCTACGTTTCATATTCAAATTGTTATGGGTATTTATTATCCCTGGTTCTCAGCAACGAGAAAACTGCCCTTTCAGAACCTCTGGCTAGAATGCAGGAGAAACTGCGCCATCTGCTGGCCGCTTGCGAGAACTGCCTGGGGGAATCTGGCCACAGCCTTGTAACTACCCTGGGTGGTAAAGCTGCAGTCGGGCAGAGAGTTGTCTGCCCAGTGGGTTGAGATCCAAGGGGCATGCAGCCCTCAGTCATCACGGAGGGTGTCTGGATGGTCACAGTTTGAATCCCACTGCCATGCTGCTAGGCATGTGGCATCTGGCCCTGGCCTGTCTGTCAGCACAACACCTGCTTTTGCAATTCCCCAGGCAGATGATGACTGAGCAGAGAGTAGGCCTGAGGTGCTAATCATGCTTCTCCCTGGGGTTTTGGTCCATTTATGGCCTCGTGGTGCATGACAGCCTGTTGCTTCCTGGCCGTGGTTTGGGCTCAGGCCACCAGAGGCTCCCGGTCCCCTTTACTATTTCCTTTCCTGGGCCTTAGCCACCTGTCAGGCAATGCGGCCATCAGGAAGAGGGACACACAGAGCACTGTAGCCACTGCCCCGCTGAGGCGCGTGGGGAGAGATGCCGACCCTCCAGGGCATCTCTGGTGAGGGCTCCAGCCCTCAGGTAGCAGTTCAGGCCAAGTCCCCATTTCAACAAACTGCTTGCAACCATACAGACAGCCTCACACAGGATGAATGGCTCCCAGCACCTAGCAAGAGGGCCTTAGAGACTGTTCCTGACCCGAAGGCACAAGTGTGTGGCTGATAAAGAGGCTGACCCATACTGAGCCTACTATGTGCCAGACATTGTCATACGTGCTCTCACATATTAATGTATCGAATATTCACAACAACATTATGAGGAAGATACTATTACTATCCTCATTTTATAGGTGCAGAAACAGAGGCACAAAAAGATTAAGGACCTTGTACAAGGACTCACAGCTAGTTTCACAAGGAGCTGGGATTCAGACCCAGGCTGCCTGCCTCCACAAGTCCTATGCCTAACCTCTAGGTTTGATTTAAGTAATTAACACCAGAAGGCTAAAGTGTGCATTTGGATAGGGAAGTCACAGACCCCATGGATTCTCAAATCACTGGTAGAGGAGTTCTGGATAACTGGCTCCCCCACAGTGACAACGGGGACTCTGAGAAAGACCAAGGATGGTCACAGTTAGAGAAGAGGGAATCTGGGAAATGGGAAGCCAGTAGAACCTAGGGAAAATCAGAGATGAGTGACTGCAGTAAACTAGACAAGATGAAAGAAAGAGAACAGGAAGAAAACAAAAACAAGTGGACAAAACACTTATATTGCTCTGTATGTTTAAAATCTTCAGACCTAATAGACTCAGCTCAACCATGGACCCTGGATGCTGGGAGGTGCTGAGCATGGCACTGCTGGGGAAACACGTATAGGTGCAGGTGCCAGACCAGGTGGGTGGCTTTGATGTTGAACCACTGCCAATACGGCAGGGCAGGTGCGCCCTCCTACATGCCTTTATGGGCTGCACGGCTCACACACATTTGTCCCCATGCCTGGACAGATGCTGTCACTCACTCACCCACACAGGCTACTGGAGGCCAGGCACTGGGGGTTCTGGGGGACCAGCACCCTTGTGGAGAGTACCCCACTCTCACAGAGTTTTCATTCTAGTGGGAAGGGTAGTCAGAATGCAAACAGGCAAATTAAATAAGATAACTACATATCAGAAATCATACTCTCACAGAAAGAAATAAGATGCTGTTCTAGAGAACAGTGGAGAAGACAATGACCTATTGGTCACAGAGAGGAGGAAGCAGGGGACACTAACCTGGCCTCACATTTCATAGGGCCTCATGTGTCCAATGCTGACGGCACCTCCACAGGAGGATCCACACGATGCCTGGAGCACCATGGACAGGCCTGAACGATGCTCACACCCTGCAGCTCAAACTGAGTGCCGTGCAGGACGGACCTCACCAGAGGACTCCTCACACTACATCCTCAACCCCAGTGTAAGCGAGAAATAAATATGACATGAAATAAATGTTCCATCATCATGTAAAGAAAGAATTTTAGTTTTGTTGTACTTTATACTGTTATGCATGACTTTAAATATTGTAAGTACTCAGAAACGTGGGCACTTGATTTGGCTTCTCATTAGGGGAGTGGTGACTGGAGCCTCACAGTCAGGCATCTCCAGGGCTGGTGCTGAACAAAGGCCCCTGGAAGGGGGCAAGGCTTTGAGGCCGAGACCTGCAGGAGCAGAAGGTAACAGCCACGTGAGAGGAGGAGAGCACAGCCAGCTGTGTATTAAAGCTGCTGTACATTTGGAGCGCGAAGGCCCCTCTCCAGGACTTGCGTTTCACTGAACATGTAAGTACTGTTAGGAAATAAAAGATCCGGGTAAATTCCGGTAGGAAGGTTCAGACAAACTGATGCTAATTTAGCCAAAAGTGAGTAGAACAAAGCCCTCCTCCACAGTTAAATGCAACCCTTTAGCTCGAGTCCTTGATGTTCAGCAGGAGAAATTTTGAAATGAATCCTTGAATTTTAAGAAGCTAGGTCAACCAGCAAATCGTGCATCTCAGATGCAACCTGCATCTGAAAATAGGTATTAAAACTACAGCAACCTGGGAAAAAAAGGTGAGGTCGAATTTCCCAAGGCAGCCTTTGTGACATGCCTTGAGTGAAAGAGAGTGGCCGACCAAGGGCCCTGCCCTTTGACTGCTGGTGTCTGCAGCCTCCAGCTGCTTCCCCGAGAGTTTCCATGGACTACAGAGACAGTAAGCTTTCTCGCTTACCCTGCCGTTGGGGATGCTAAGCATTTCGTCCCTTACAGCCTGGACCCTGAGGACAATGAACCGAGGGACTGACTCATGAGAGGCGGTCCTGTTCGGGCCAGAGGCAGAGCAACAACTGGCGCATTTGGGGAGAACTTGTCTGCCTCTAGGGGAAAGTGTCTGCATGCTGAGAAAATGCATGCTGAGAAAATAAAATACGTCTTCCCTTTGTTCACCTCCTCCTCTCTACCACAGGCAGCTGGACTTCCCGCAATTCATGCATCAGCTTCCTGGCCACTTTAAGACTGTTTCCTTGGTTAAAACCTTCCTCACAGTTGGCATCGCCTCCCCTCAAATCGAGTGTCCCACTGGAAGCACTCTGGCGGTATCCTTCCCAGATGCCCACACTGCTGTATAAAACATCACCAGGCCTCACGAAATGTTTATCTAATGACCAAGTTACCAGATTATCACAATCTGTATCTACCACCACAGTATTCCCTCTGGGAGTTACTAAAGGATTAGTTTCTCCCAGCCCAACCAACAGTCTTCGGGAATCAACCATCCTATGACTAATTCATTCATTTTACCATCATATGTCTATTGGGGGCCTACTGGTGCCCAGGCACCTTATGAGATTCTCTAGATACAGCAGGGAATAAAACAGACAAGCTTGGGGAGCTGGCAGTGGGTGATACCCGGGGTCAACAAACTTTCTGTGAAGAGCCAGAGAGTAAATAGCTAAGGCTTTTGCAGGCCACATGTGGTCTCTGTAGCATATTTTTCTTTGCTGGTTTTTGTTTTATAACCTTTAGAGAGGCAGCAGGGATGCATGTGGGTGTGGGCACAGCCTGGGACAGGCCAGGAGTGCTGTTCAGGGCATGAGGCTGAGACCCAGGGAGGGGAACTGTCTTACCTGGAAGGGTCTTCATGAGTACTAACCAAAAGAAAGCAGAAAGGGCATGACAAGCAGGTGTAGTGGTATCGGGGGGAGGCGGGGACACGTGGCGTACAGAAAGCTCCCTTGGGTAGCCCCCCAGCTCCAGTCTGACGTCAGTGGGCCCAGGCATGTCCCGTGTAGGAGGGGCAGCCTCTCCAAGGGATGTGTGAGCTTCGCGCCCCTCCTCTAGAGGAATCGTGCCCCGGGAGGAATAATAAGGTTGAATGTTATTTTAAATGAATTTGTTTTCAATCTATTTCGGCTGTCTAGGGAAAAACCTTTTACACGCACGTCATTTGATTCCTTTTTCCTTCATGTCCATTATCCTCATAATGGGCTTTTAACGCATTAACGCGGCCCTGTTTGCTGAACGCTGATTCACACTGGTCAAATCAATAAATAGCAAAAGCATAAAAATACACCAAAAAGACACTGACCTGGAATATAAGTGGGAAATTTGGGGTCCTCCTTCCTTAAAAGCGGACGCTGCATTCCGCTATCCTGCCTCACTCATCAGGATGAGTGTCACGGAAATGCCTGTATTTCCCCAATTTCAATTCCCAAGTGCCCATGGAACCATCAGAACTAAACTTTGCAGCAAAGAGGAAGCCGCTCTGCCTGCCGCTGGCATTTAATCTCAGCCTTCCCATCTGCGTTCCTATCTAGCTGTGTGTTGTGGCTGAAACATTAGCTTTTTTCTAAATGTATTTATGATGAAGGCAGAAACTTCAAAATGCAGGTTTCTATGCTGAGTTTTTTAAGGATCAAAGGAAGCTAAGAAGTGAAAACTTTCACCACCTACACCCATGTTCATGCACGTGAGATCTGCATCTGTGACCTCCATGGCCCATTCTATAGCACCAACCGAAGGAAAGGAAACAAAATGGCTTTTCAAATTGTGACCCACTAACTGCTGTTGAAGGCTGAGCATGTTTCCTGATTCTAACAAGAAGGAAGATTTGCCACCACACAATGGTGGCAGGGAAGGGAACATGCTTTGGGTTCGATTAACGAAGATCTAAATAATCCAGAGATTCTCCCTTGCCCACTTCTGTCCCACCTTAACCTACACCAATGGAGAAGTTTCCAGTGATCTAGTGTGGGAGATTCCCCCCTGTGCTCCAGGGAACACCAGGGCTCAGAAATGCAATTAAGTGTTTCAGGAAGACCACATTCTTTGCTTAGAATGACTGCGTTACTCCATTAATCTCTCGGATGCTCCAAAGTGCACCCGCCTTCAAGCTTTGAGAAGTCCTGCAGCAAACTTTTGTTTGAAGTTTACTTTTGTTTTACTTGGTGTTTCCTATGCTTGTTTAACTAAGAAAAGTTTAAAATTCTTTTAAGAATATTTTAATCAAAACGCGAATTCACACTGTGCAACACAAAGAAAGCATTTAACCGGAGTATCATTTTTGGAAAATTCACCCTATTAGAAATTGAACTGGGTTTTCACATTTTGGCAAATGTTTTCACATTCCACCAAAACCCTATCACCCTCCTAAACAGACTGTGTCCCTGTGGGGTGTCCTGCGACCTCCCCATGGAGCTTGAGGTCTATAGAGCAAAACAGGAGCATTATTCATCCATAATTAGATACTCAGTAACTGGGTGTGAAAAAGAAAAGTAGCAATTCAGGATCCACTTTTGTTGCAAATGATGCAAACCTAGATCAAGCTAGTTTAATAAAATGGGTATTTATGGAAAGGATACTTAGAGGAAAGCTCACAGCTCTGGACATGCCGAACAGCAGGGTCTCAGGAATTAGGGGAATCGCAAGTGTAAGGAGGTGTTCAAGGGCTGAAACATCATCTGACCTCTGAGTCCCCTTCCTCTACGGCGGCTCCTTTCTTCTTCCCCTTTCTGCATGTGGGCTTTATCCTCCCAAATGGCCAATTCCCACAGCTTTACAATTAGAGAGGAAAGGTGGCCACCACCTTAAGGAACTCAGGTGAAGAACTCGGATTGGCATGGCTTGTGGCCTGGGTCTGCTCTGCTCAGGCCACCCGGATCTCGTGCCTGCTCCTGAGTCTGGGTCCTGGGATTAGCAGCCCTCGTAAGAACCACATAGGTGGTCATGAGGGCTGAAATGGCTCCCTACAGAGAAAGGGGAGCTGTATTTTGAAGAAGGGGAAGGTGTGCAGGGCTGAGATACCACGCACGTCTGCTGCGGATGGGAAGGAAGGATGTTGGTTCTGGGGAAGGAGCCCTGCCCAATCCGCCCCTCCCCTCACGCTCTCTGAACCCAGCCAAACCGCAGCTACGTCACGGGGAACACGGCAGCCTGCTCAGCTCACGGCTGCCGTTGCATATTCTGTATGTAACCTGGGTCTGCTGCTCCCAGGATGAAAGCACGTGGGGCTAATTGCTCATTTAGCAAGTCCGTTACCTTCTTGGTGATTCTGTGCCCAATCTGTTCATTCTGTTGCTTATGTCTTTTTATAAGTGGAGGGAAATTGAGTTATCACAGGAGAAATGAGCTCTCTTATTTCTTGAGAAATTCTCCCATGCTTAGACAAAGGGGATTTACGTTTATCCCTTCCCCTTTGTGATACCTCATTCTAAATGATGTATTAATCGTGTTTTGATTACACAAACCAATTAAAGATGTTTCAAAGGTTCCGTTCATTTAATTAAATCTTTGGTAGGACTTCGTATTTATTTAGACTGTCCGTGTTGACTGTTAACAAAGTGCATGTGTGTCATAAAAACACCTATTTCCATCACTGCGTTCCTTACAAAGTCTTCTTTTATCTACCATGAATCTGTGCAAAGTTACCTCCAGCCATCAATCTGCCCACCTGTCTCTCAGTTTATCTGTCCACCTACCTAGTTTTTTATCTGATGGCTGTTCCTGAATGCACTCCTATAATCAATGCTTGTTGAGATACTGTGATCGTCCGGAGGTAGAAGGTGGTGACCACATCTCAGGGTTCTTCTACTCGACGGATGTGAGGGGATCTGGACTCAGTGTCCCCAAGCTGCCTCGCATTTTAGATTGATCACAAGTGGGGACACCCTAGCAGCAGGGAAGACCCACAATTCAGATGTGTATCAATGTGCACTGGGAATCATTCCCTAAGTCCCTGAAATGAAGACTATTAGCCAGTTCGGGCTTCTCTGCCCAGAGCATTGACCACAATCACGCACAGACACTCCTCAGCCTCAAGGTATGCAGGATGTTTCTGCACGACCAGCCCTTCTCGCCAATTACTGGTATATCTCTCCCACCTCAGCTTCCTGTGTTGGCAGCACAGAATAGGGAAAGAAAGGTTGGGTTCTAGGGTGAAGGAGCTCTTGAGGAAGTATTTTTAAAAATAAAACACT